GCAGCTGACGCAGTTTACGGTACATTTCGTCGATTTCTTCACAGTAGGACTCTGCTGCGATGGTTTGGCCTGGTGACAAAAAGTTTTAGTGGACACACCAGCCGATGACCACCAAGCCGTGACCAGAATCTTTTTTTCGTGAGGGTTCGGCTTTAAAAATTACCTCGGTGGTTCGTCGAGATCCAACCACTGTCCGGGACGTTTCCTGTTATCATACATGACCCATTTTTCGTCACAGATGACAATTCTGTCCAAAAACGGGTCGTTTCTATTGCGCAAAAGCAGTAAAGAAGAAACCTCGAGACCCTATTTCTGCCAGTCACTCAGATTGTGGGGCACTCATTTGTCGAGTTTTTTCACCTTCCCAATGCGTTTCAGACCATCTGCATCAGATTTGCCAACGCCTAGCTTTTCCGCAATCTCTCGAACTGTTTGGGGTGGGTCAGCCTCCACAAATCAATTGAAATCCTCATCAAGTGTTGCTTTAGGTCGACCGCTAAAGGATCATCTTCAAGGCTGAAATCCCCAGAACGAAATTTTGTCGAACTATTGTCGCACGGTGCTTTCTCCAACACTATTGGACCCCACACCTGGTCAATTTGTCGAGCTGTTTCGATTGCCGATTTCCCCAATTTATAGTCGAAGAAAAATATCGTCTAAAGTTGCTCTTTTGACATGCTTCAAAAAGTCTTGGGAAAAGGCGGTTTATCAAGCAATGGTGAAACGGCAATTATCATACTCTATATATAATGCAGAAGTTGTCTGTGTGTCTGTCGGAACAATAGGAGAATAGGCCTGTATTGAGCTGAGGCCTGTATTGAGCTGAGCGGTGTCCCGGATGTAATCTCTTGAAAACGTTGTCAACAAAACTCTTAAACGCCGTCAACTTTGGGATGGGGGCTGAGGGCATGTCGAAAAACGAATACACACAAACTAAGTTAAGCCTCGCACACAATGGACGGGGCGTGCACCGAAGTGCCAACGACAAAAATTCGCAAAATTCCTCTGGAAGATCACAGGGACCGGGGACAAAATCATTCTCTATGCACCACATTCTCTATGTATGTTAGACTACCCCCACAATGGGCGGGGGGGGGCATACCCGAAGTGAGCGAGGCGTTTGTTCGGACGGGCGGGGCCGGATTCAAATCTTTAAAATTCGGACCCGGAACTGCCCGGGCAGCGGGAAAACGGGCTCGAGTAAAAAGTGAGCAATTAGATAAACAGAAGGAGGCACACCCGAACTGGGCGTTGGGAAGAGCACGGCAGCCTGCGGTTGAACCGCGTTTGTCTGGGCAGGCTGGCCGCGTTTGTCTGGGTAGGCGGGGACCACGTAAAAATTTCGGTCGGACCCGCCATCCGAGCAGCGGCAAACCGTGTAAGAAGTGGGTCGAGATTGAATTCAAGGAGACATACTTGAAATGGGCTCATGAAAAAAATCGAGTGCCGACATTCCACCCCTCGCCTTTACGAAAATTTCACAAACCATCCACTAGGGGGGAAGGGTATACAGGGGGGGCCAAAAAAAAAGTCATTTTGCCTCCATGACTTTCAAGGCGCTATAAGTTACACTTCATTAAATTTTTATCGGACAATTTTACTACCATATTAAAGAGCACATTAAATACTATAATGATACCCCGCCACAGCCTTCTGGAGGAGCGCCATCGAGAGATTCGGCCGCGCGAAAGTGAGTGGGTACCGGAGTTGAGCGAGATCGTTGATTTCTCCGCCACCGTAGACCACCCTGTTGAGCTCCGCCCGAACGAGTAATTGCGTGGGTTTAGGTCAGGGGACATAGTTCAATATTACATCTTCATCAGGTACGAAACGCCCTTCCATTCGAAGTAGGCGGGAGTTTTTCCAAAACCCTTCGATTCCATGTGGTGGCTCCCAAACCTGTAGCAGCACAAGGTCTCCAAGAAGGTACGGGCGACCACATGTAGGGAGGATATCCTTCTCGAGTTACTTGATGTAACGCGCCAGCGCTCACCTTCAGTCGGGGTCTACAAAGAAAATATCGGTCTTCCCATTCCAGGTACGGCCGGTCCACACCATCAACCACCGCGCCTTGGTGAATGGGGTGAAGATGATTCGCTGGACCGTAGCGACGTTGCAGGAGCTGCCCGATGTGGGAGGTCTTGCAGATCAAGAGTACTGATCTCCAGGTAGCTATCCATGGGTGATTCCATTCAAGAAGTTCCGCAGCTGTTTGGAGGCCACGTGAATTCCAAAGGCGTTCTCCACCCAGGCCGCGACTGGAGATGACTTCATATTTTGGTGTACATGAAGGTGAATGGCAGCAGCCGGCTCCTTCTTATAGAGGAAGATCTTGGGTATCTTCCGCCCTGGTACTCATATCCACTTCCTCTGTCTGGGCTGTGAAAACTTCGCTCATATGCGACTCGGCCGGAATGACTTTTTTTTTGGCCCCCCCTGTATACCAAAGGTAAAACGGCAATAGTCCGGAACCGCAGGAAAAAAATTTTTATGTGCCGATGGAGGGTCACACGCATAAGGAGGATCGCCCGCCGAAGGCGTTCGATCCGACTGGCCCTCAGTTCGGATGGCCGGGGACCCACTTCACACGCATAAGGAGGATCGCCCGCCGAAGGCGGGCGATCCGACTGGTACCATCAGATAACGCAAAAAATTCCCTTCAGGATGTACTACTGAGACGCAAAGGAGATTGAGTTTTCAATTAGCAATGAATGTACAAAAAATAGTAACACAAAACACTGAGAACTTTCTGGACAACCTAATAATTCGTGATTATTTTCAATGCCATCAGGCTAAGCTTTAATAAATGGCCTATTACTGCCGGTAGAGAAGAGCCTTCAACAAAAAGAGTATCTGTGAACAACCACGTTAACACTATGAATAGTTAGTTAATCAAGCTGCAGTATATGTATGTAGCAGGAAGACAAAAGAGGCAAGATTTATTCACAAATATGTATTGAAGGGCAAGAAACACGGCAAAAATACGTTTGAACATAAACCGTTCACCGAGTTTTTACCTTGCTTTGGTTCTACATAGTAATTCACACAGTTTGAGACCGTACTGATGATTAGTCACCGAAATGCCATAGCCCTAACCGAAAATCACCCCACCCATATGCGAGAGCGGTCACTTAAAAAACACATAGTATGCTCACACACATTGAGGGTGTATGAGACTATCAGCCCTCCAGCTGTCGATGTGTCGTGGTCCCCCCGCCCAAACATGCCCAGGAATGGAGATACAGGACCGTGACACGCTAATTCCTCCATGCTCCGCCTTACACCTTTTTGCGGCGCAGATTCTCGTCCTTCATAACATCCGTCGTAAACGCGCGTGTCGCGTGCGGCTCCTTGGCACTTTGCCAAGTCCTTCAATTGCGCTTTTAAATACAAGTAAAACGCAATTTTCTGATGCGGATAACACTGGAAGTGCTGCAAAGTAAGAACAGAAGATGATGACGAGGGTCAGAACTTAAAAGCAACTGTGCCATTTCTGCAACATCCCCCGGAGGCCGTATATTTCCTACGAATGAAAAATAAAAACGGCATCTCGTTAGTTTGATACAAGCAAAACGCAATTTCCTGATGTGAATAAAATTTTAGGTGTTGCTCATGCTTCAAAATCCAAGTACAAGGAGATGAAGATGACACAGGCTAGAAATGAAGCACAATGATGTAAATGTAAGTAAAACAAAAATGAAAAAATCAAGGGAAGGCAAACTAGTTAAAATCGCCTGTAAATTTCTACGATCCGGCGCGAATCCGGCGCCAAAGCCATAGAAATACTCAGAACAAACGAGTGGGACACTTGGGTTGTTTTTATTCTCATCTTTGTGGGAAAGCGCGGCCTCTGATGGATACTGCAGATGCAGCCGAGTTGCTCTTGAGTTCTGGCCTTCGTCAACATCTTCTGTTCTTACTTTGCAGCACTTCCGGTGTTATCCGCATCAGAAAATTGCGTTTTACTTGTATTTGAGAGCGCGATTAAAGGACTTGGCAAAGTGCCAAGAAACCGCACACGACACGCGCGCTTATGACGGATGTTATGAAGGACAAGAATCTGCGCCGCAAAAAAGGTGTAAGGCGGAGCATGGAGGAATTAGCGTGTTTCACGGTCCTGTATCTCCATTCCTGGGCATGTTTGGGGGGGGGGGACCACGACACATCGACAGCTGGGGGGCTGATAGTCTCATACACCCTCAATGTGTTCCAGCGTACTATGTGTCTTTAAGCGCGATCACGCTTCGCGATCACGCAATCCTTCGCACTATCGCGAAGTATGAATGCGCTCTCACACAAGCAAGAACCATGTAAATGTCAGTGCATTTATCACAAATGTTTATCCGTTACGACCCACTGCAGCATTAAGTACGCCTCTGGGAGCCTGCCGTCCACTCACTAACATTTGCAAACCCAAAGAAATTAACCGCTTCGGGCAAATCGTTTTATTTCGCGGTGACAAAAACAAAACCAGAAAATCAGTCCTTTTGAGCCAATGTTAGTGTACGCATTACGACACCCTGCCGTGACTATTGACGAAGAAGATGTTATGAACTGATAGCCATGGACTTAGATGCTCATCAAAGGCGTCTGAATCAAATACAGTATTGTCTGGAGTAAGAGGCGCTCGTTCGCTTTGAATGCAGTGAATTTTTCCACTCGCTTTAATCTTGAGCGCTTCTTAGTTCCTTTCTATAGATAGTTTTTTACCAAGCACTATCTGAAAACCAGTTAGAACAATAAACTACGCAAAAAGGTAGGAAAACTGCACTGTGTCTACCAAGTTTTTCCGCGCCTTGTCGCATGCCGTTTTGCGAAATATATAATACCTTATACCCAAGAAAATAGGGAAATAGAGAATCCAGCCACACTGACAGTGGCTTTGGGCGGTTTCAAACCTTTTTCCACAAATACATATACAGATACACATTACGGTAAAATTTGTCACAACCCTGAAAAAGTCATCGACCGATATCTTCGTTCGTCGTACATATGCCGAGCTAATCATCCGGATAAATTGTTCTCAACCATGGTTTCGGAATGTACCTTAATCAATAATGCGATGAGCAATGCTGATTTCATTCTTGACAGAATTACTTTACGCTTCATAAAACTTTACAGTAATGACAGACAGTCCGACATGTCGCCTCAAACACTGCTTTCCAAGGTAGGAGAAAGCTGCAGTTCTCCACTATGTTCCATTGAGTGCAAATTCAGAGAAGCAAATATTGCTAGGGGTTTCCCTTTATATGGATCTCCTGGGACAATAATACTTTGTATGCTGTGTGTTAAAACTACGTCTACACGCTGCGGCGGCTAAGGAGGTATGCAGCGGTAGGACGCCCTAGCGCTCGTTTTCACGGGTTGATTTGGATAGGCATAAGTTATGGAGGTTTTTTTCTGCTGTTTATCGCCACATTCGCGTTTCGGAAGTAGTAGGGTTGTAACTTATAAGGGGTATTTTCGGAGTGGAACCAAAAATAACGAACAAAAGAATAGGTTTCGGCGGCACTTATCGATAGATGTCCCATAAAAAGTAATTCTTTTCACTGAAGGCTCTTTCGTGCACTCGACTGCTACAAGCACGCTTGCGTGCTTCAGCAAAATCCTCTGTACAAGACAAATAAACTTCCACGAACATGTGTTTCTCCTCATCATATCTCTCCATATAGTTCTTCAGTAAGCTATGAATGATCCTTCCTTGATACAACTCGATATTTTCTTGAACAATGTAGCCGAGTTGCGGTACCAAACGATCCCTAGTGTCTATCAGTACAGCGTAATTGGGATTATTCGTCCACGCCTGCAAACGCAATTCGAATCAGAGCTTTGATCATCACATAGACGTTCCTTGAGAATAATCGGTTTCGCACTGTATGCGAATCGCTATTGCTAAAGCTATGAGACTGTGGCTTATTGCATGGAGTGAGTGAACACACCTCATTTCCCTTATGAACTCTTTCGATGAAATCTTTGGATGCTTGAGCCTTGAGATCCCATCCAACTATCACCGCTCGATAACCATGCACCTTAACATATCAAACTTGTACAAAGATAACAGTTTCTCTCATTGGTAGACGACGTCACCAACAGCGAGTAGCAGCTGAGTGACTGTCACGAAAACAAAAACCCTGCTGTATTTGGCTTGCTCATCAAAATTGCATTTACGAAGGATAGCTCTCCAGAAAAGAACAATATTCCACAAATAACTCAAGGGTCGCAAGCAATCCACCTATGCGTGAAGAGAGGACCCAAATTTTCTGACAAAACGTACAACAGACCAGTCAAAACAGATGCCACCCATGCATTTGATTGTAAAACCGTAGGGACCCTTGCCAAACTGACTAATACAGTGACTGCCGCTGTTCAAGTCGCCCAAGCTGGCTTAGTGACCTCATTCATTACATAAAGCCGAAATCGATTCAAAGCTCCTCAATTTAGTAGTGCGTTCTTGGCTATTCATGAGGATAAACACTTCACTCCCCTATCTTTTCGTTGACACTATTCCTAGAAGAAGGCTATGATAAAAAGTATGCGCTCTCAGTCTACGATACCAAAAATTATGAAGGTTATGGAAAGAGTACTGAGCGCATTCTCGCTGCCCTAATACAGGTGATGCTCTTATTTCGAGACTTTACAACTGGGGTTCTGGGTTCGACAACGGTGTCGCTAACTCGCTTTGTCGCAGTATTTCCATACTACGCCGACTTCAACATTCAAGCATACCTTACAATGGAACTGAAAAGGGAGTGATTTGAGCTTCCCATGGAACTTTGAATGGAGACCTGGGTACATCGATAGAGCCTCGAATGCTGATTACGAATATGCATATTAAAGACAGCCCCCGCGCTCAAGTAGTACATGGTCATCTTTCCTTGTGCAAGTAGTGCAGCCCCCAAACTAGAGGGTGTCGACACTCTCGCGACTCCACAGCGAGCGGGGAGCGAGCTGCAGCCGCTGAAAGTTCTAGTCCTAACGCCCGCCCAGTTGGACCCTCCTATTTGCTAGATGCCCTCTGACGGAGGGCAGCTCAGTTGTTCTTTGTTGGGACGGCGGGTATTAGTTGGAATTGCATGTCATCTTTTGCTGACCGCGCGGCCATGAGTGATTCTGCTTTCCTTTATTAAATTTTATTTATGAGGAGCACGTACAGTCAACTTTAAATCTCGCAAGGTGAAACGCCTAAAACCACGAGCGACCCAATGTTCGCGGTGCAAAAGCTTGATTCATCACACTACACTAACCGGGAAGGTCGTTCAGGACGTGGCGCGCTTTTTGAAAACGGTTTTTTGCATGATGTAGGGGCACGTTCATGGACTAACCAAACTGACGTTCATTTTCCTAAATGGTCTCTTTGATACCAAAAAGGAAGTGAAAAGAAGTCCATGGAAACCGATAAGTTTTGAGGCTCTATGGGCTCCACATCGCTCGCAACTTTGACCAGTTGTTGATGGGGGGTCCTCATAAAGGTTCTATGGAGATCGAGGAGAAAAACAGCCGCAGAGGGGGTCTTAATTGTGGCACGTGGTCAAGAGTGAGCGCTTCCTTGGAATGTTTTCTCAACAATCGAGCGGTGTTCAACTACAACGATCGGTGGCCTAGTGGATAGCGTGGAGGATTCTCAATCTGGCGGTGAGGGTGGCTTTGATGTTCGACTCCCCTCGACGTGCAGCTTTTGCAATTTTTTAGTTTCGCTATTCTCGCTTCCATGATGTCTGTGCATGAGGTTAACATGGATATTTGCAATTTATGGGCAAATTCTTAACGGTAGCACCCCGTGAGTCGGTGTTATTCTACTAATACAATTTTCTCATACCGTTAAGCAAGACTTCCATTGGAAATTGATTTTTATGTGTAGGTGAGTGACATGATCATCAATATGGTCCTTAATTTTAGTTCCGGTGCCATTTGTCTCCGATTCGGAACCACATCATTCTCCGACTGAATTCATTATGTACACCCATATTAAGGGACGTTTAGCGCTACTCTGCCGCCAAATTGCGTCAGCGCCAAAAATAATTGTCACCATCGGTATCAGGACCATCAATCACCCCTATAGACAAAGTTTCGCTCAAAAAATTTTTTTTACCTTTTTGGGTTTGTGTATTGGATCGTGCACACGAGCTTTTCTATTGAAGTTATACTTGCCTGTTATTCAAATCTTCGCATTTATTGATAAATAAACATGAAACCAACAACAAGAGTAACATCGTTGAAAAAAGAAAATTTTAGTAATCTCTACAGGTGCATTTGAAAGTGGAGAATGTTGAATGAATCTGTTTTGACGGTAGAGGAGAATGATACCTTTGTCTAGCGAGTGGCCGCTAGGGGCCCGCAAAAGTCCGCGACAGTTGTTCACGTATTCCACCGGCATTCAAGATTATAGCTGCATGGAAGGATCTTTGGTACAGCAAATTTGCGATACGGCTGCGCTGCGGCCCGCTACGTCATCAGTACGTCATCGCCGCTACGAATAAGTGGGACTCCGGTCGTCATCGTCGATCTAGTGGTCCGCCACAACCCAAAAAGGTCAAAAAAATTTTCGAGCGAAACTTCGTCTATAGGGATTGTTTTAGGGGTGATTGATGGTCCTGATCACGATGATGGCAATTATTTTTGGCGCTGACGCAATTTGGCAGAGTAGCGCTAATCGTCCCTTAAGGGCAGTTGGCACGATGGTTTCCTACTCAGCCTAAAATCCTAGTAGGGCGGGGAAATGGCGAAAGAACGGAGTCAACAGAAAGGGTCTGATTCTTTTGCATGAACGCCCGCCAACACGTTTCACAAATCACCATCCATATTGAACGAAGGGGGGTTGAAGTTCTACCTCAACCGCCATATTCTTCAGACCTTTCGCCAAGCGACTATCACTAAGTTTTCAAAAACTTTGGGAACTTCCTTGCTGGAGAATACTTCATCAATTGGGACCAGGCAAAAAAAGCATTCGTGGATTTGGTGGATTCTCGACCACCCAGTTTTTTCTTTGATGGGATTTATCGACTGGTGTCACATTGGCAAACGTGTGCTTCTTCGAACGGTGCTTATATCGATCAAATCCGATGAGTATTAAAGGCAGTTGGCACGATGGTTTCCTACTTAGCCTAAAATGCTAGTAGGGCGCTGTATAGTGAGGAAAGGCGAAAGAACGGAGTGAAACGGACAAAATCCTGCGAAGAAAAAGCCTCCATTCTCAGTGACTTGTAAATCGATTTCGGACGAGTTTCCCATAGGCATCTTACCAATCACTGCTACCGAACGGCTGCATATGTGTATCCATGTATGCATACAGCATCACGGCCGCTTCATACCAATCCCTTCGCATCATAATGTGCTTAGCAAACGAATGAATATGAGTGTCAGGAATGGTCGTCCATTTGTGGGCGGGTGGGCGTGGCGGGCGTTTGGGACGTGAACTTGTGGCTTGATAGGCCCCTTATAAGGGCACCTTCCTCGGAGAAACCGCTATGCAGCGGCTGCCCAGGGTCGCGGAATTCATCCTACCAGGAGCATGATCCTAGTCGCCTTGGGGGATTTATCGTGCTAACTGCCTTCAATATGTGTGTACATAATGAATTCAGCGGAGAATGATGTGGTTCCGAATCGGAGACAAATGGCACCGGAGCTAAAATTGAGGACCATATTGATGATCATGTCACTCACTTACACATAAAAAACAATTTTCAATAGAAGTCTTGCTTAACGGTATGAGAAAATTGTATTAGTAGAATAACACGACTCACGGGGTACTACCGTTAAGAATTTGCCCGTAAATGGCAAATATCCATGTTAACCTCATGCACAGGCATTCATGGAATCGAGAATGGCGAAACTAAAAATTGCAAAAGCTGCACGTCGAGGGGGGTCGAACATCAAAGCCACCCTCACCGCGAGATTGAGAATCCTCCTCGCTATCCACTAGGCCACCCGATCGTTGTAGTTGAACACCGCTCGATTGTTGAGAAAACATTCCAAGGAACCGCTCACTCTTGATCACGTGCCACAATTAGGACCCCCTCTGCGGCTATTTTTCTCCTCGATCTCCATAGAACCTTTATAAGGACCCCCCAACAGCTGGCAAAGTTGCAAGCGATGTGGAGCCCACAGAGCCTCAAAACTTAACGGTTTCCATGGACTTCTTTTTCACTCCTTTATTGGTATGCAAAGTGCCGTTTAGGAAAAATCAACGTCAGTTTGGTAGGCCATGAACATCTCCCTATATCATGCGAAAAACCGTTTTCAAAAAGCGCACCACGTCCTGAACGAACTCCCTGGTAAGATGCACGCTACTAAGTCTAAATTCGGACGCCGTGTTTTTGGAAGTTTCTTTTCCTTTTCGAGAGTTTTTCTTCCGTGTTTTTGTTGTTTTTCACATTCTTTTCTTTGCATTGGATGATAGCCACTAATGGCAGAAATGATAAAGAGATTTCGGTGCCAGAGGTTGCATAGAGACCGCAGCGCGGTGTGACTGTTAGGGGGCAATTTTGTTTATGGTGTTCTCAAAGAATATTCCTGCTTTTCTGTCTTCTCCGGAGAAACACTCATCAGCTAACGTTTCATAAATGAAACGCAACTATCCATGTTACTTTTATCGCGGGAGCTGTCTTTAAAAGTGCTACGGGGACTTCTCAGACGAGATCTGGATAGTCAAAGTTGTTAAAACTCTGGCTTAGCTCGTGAGCGCTGCTGATCGATGTTTCGGCAGTGCCACCGTGGCCAAGTGTGAACGGTCTCGCTTCAAAGCCAAGTGCTCGTGGGTTTGCATCTCGTTGGCGGAGAAATTTTCGCTTCGTCTCATTTAAGTGCTTTTACTCTAATTTTCAAATCTTCCGAGTTTACGGTCCAGCAGAGCAAGCAGATCAAGTATATGACGTAACTGATCTAGTACGGATTTGGTCACATTTGTTCTCTCTGAACTTATTACCCACCCGACAGTTCAAAGTTTGGGCGAGAAAGTCGTTATGGAGGGTATTTTGACTCTTGAACGCGAACATCACACCCGTGAGAACGCATGTAACATTCACGTTCGTGGTTGCTGGTCATCAACTGATCTGCACAATTGTGATTCTGGCCAAAACTTCGAATTGTCGGATGGATGATAAGCTCAGAGAGGCCAAATAGTGACCAAATCCATACTCGATCGAGTACGTCATATAGTTTATCTACTTGATCTATGGCTCTGCTGGACCGTAAACTCGGAAAAATTCCAAAAATTGGAGTAGATGTTATCATGGGAAACGAAACGAAAATTTCCGCGCCAACGGGATGCAAACCCCACGAGCATTTGTTTGGGTTGAAGCGAGACAGTTTCCACTAGGCCACGGCGGCACTGCCGCGCGATCGAACCGCAGCGCTTACGAGCCAAAACTGTGTTTTCGCAAATTTTGACCGCCCAGATCTCGTCA